CCGCTGAAGGGGACAGCCTGGACCACACACTGCAAGTTGGATGTCCTGGCCAGGGGAGGGGCTCTCCCCCTCCCAACCCCCATCCCTCCCTCCTGGGCCAACAGAGAATCCAACAGGTCCCTCCTCTGGGAGGAACCAGCCCTAGGCCTGAACCAAGGGGGGCACGGATGGGCAGGGTAAATAATCACCTCCCGACACCAGCTTGTGCGAGGGCCAGGCCGTCACAGTCAGGTCTGGGTCCTGCCCCAGCAGAACAAACCCAGAGCACTGCGACTGGCCCTTGGGCTACTGCCCTTGAGCCCCTGGGCCCGACGGCAGGCACCGGGCTCTGATCCCAGCTGTAGACTCCACCCTAGTTAATACAACAGCTGCAGCAAACCACTCATGTCCCTGCCCCACACCGCGTGGGACACTCCCTGCCTGAGGTGCCAGCGCTCTGCCCGCAGACAGGCCAGGAGTGGGGGCACGGGCAAGCCCACGCTGCAGTAACCAAAGCTTCAGCAAGAAGAGGAGCCAGCCGCTGGGCAAGGGCCCTTCAGGGAAGGGCTAAGAGAAGGGCCGAGGGCCAGGCCGCTGGCAGCTCAGCTCCAGGCCCTGGGGAACTGGCTCCTTCACAAGGAAGTCCCTTGGCAGTCCCAGCCAAGGCAGGATGCTGCCCCCAGGGAGCAGCTAAGGGAGAGCCCTCCTGTCCCCCAACCCCCTTTCCTAGGGACCGTCCTGCAGGGTCACCACCGCTGAAAGGGGCTTCGTTAGCCTCCCCGTGCTGCCCCTCAGCCGCAGCTGGGACAGTGGCCAATCCCAGCCCGCCCCAGTCATTCCTCCTCTCAGCAAGGGACACGCAGGCACTGCAAACTGCCGCCCCCTCTCCCCCAGTCAGTGACAGAACCCAGCTCTGCTCTTTGGTGCTGGGAAGGGGGCAGGCGTCCAGGGCAGCTGCTGCAGGGCAAAAGGAGACGCTCCTGCACATGCCTTGCAGCAAAGCCGCTAGGTGAGGGAACAGCCCTCGGCGGGGCGTCCTCACACGGTGCTCTAGGCACCCAGGGCCACAGGTGTTTGGGGCAGCACCTGGGTGGGTACAGAGGTAGTGCTAGGCAGACTAGGGTGTGCTGGACGTCAGGGAGCTGCTCCAGGGGCCTTGGTTGCCTGCCAGGGAAATTCTTTTGATGTTCTCTGCAACCCCCGCCCCCAAGGGCCGAGGCAGCCAGCAGTGCACCACAGCTAGAGAGATCAGCCCAAGGGCCCAGCAGCTCCCACACCTTGCCCTTGCCTGGCAAGGAAGAGGCCCAGCTCTGGAGGAGACACAATTGAGACTTGTCCGTTTATTGGGGGTTTTCACAGTTGATTGTGTGGGGGGGGGGGGGAGAATAGTACTTTGACTCTGTAGACGTGCAGCTGGTAGGACAGTGCTGGGGGACAGAAGACAGGGGCCCTGCTGCACAGTGGGGAGGGAGTCAGGAGCAGGACTGGACAGAGCTACAGGCTGAGGGGAAATACCCTCCCTAGGGGACCTGCAGAGCGATCAAAGCCCTGGGTGCCAGAAGGATGAAACGGACACGCCGACATTTTGCCCCTCCACCGTTCCTGCCACATGGCATTTTGCTTCCCAGGGGCAGCTCACGCACCTGGGACTGTTCTTGGCCATGGCACACTGGACCCCACCCTGTAGTGAAGAGGGCAGCGGGGTGTGCGTGAAGGCTGGGAGGCAGGGCACGCTCCAAGAGAGCCTCCCCTCATCCCTGATGTATGATCGAGAGCTCTGCTGGAAGGGCTGTGCTCTCCCGCCTGGCCCCACTGCCCAAGGGATCCCGGGACAGGGCCAAAGCGTCACCTCCCAACACCCCGGGGAGCCCCTCGCAGAGCATGATGACTGCAGGGGCACTAGAAGCCTTTACAACAGGAAAACCAGCCCTCGCTAGCTTTGCTGCGACAGGCAGGTGAGGTCTTGTTACTGTGGCAAGCTGGGTTCATTTCACAATGGCACCCACGGGCACAGCTCCCAGCACCAAGGGGGATGGGTGCTGATTGCATGCCCTTCCCCACAGCCACATGGAGAGCATCCCCCACCATGGACCCCGGCTCTGCAGAACCAGAGTCATGACCACACCAGCCCTGCCTGCTCTACCCTCCCCCAGAAACAGCTGCATCCCTTAACAGATTGGTTGTTGAGGGGAGCCCCTCCTTGTTGGACCATCAGAAGGGGGCAGATGGCACCGGACGTTACTGCTCTGCTGGCATCAGGTCGCAGGTTCTGCCGGGGTAGGACGACGGCGGACCAGCGGTCAGTGTGTGGAAATGCCGGGCTCTTCGTCCCACACTCAGAGGGCTCATCTACCCTGGGCATCTCCACCTGGCCTGCCAACCCTCCACCCGGCCTGCCAACCCTCCACCCGGCCTGCCAACCCTCCACCCGCGCCCCGTCCTGCTGCAAAGGTGCCACCGCAACGGCTGCTCGCCAGGCCGCTCGGGCAGAGCGGCTTGATTCTGTGATTTACAATCAGTGGGTAAGTGGGGAGGGAGGGATGCGCAGAACCCCGGCTCCGCTCTGAGGGGAGGAAATCAGACAGTCCTCAGCGGTGCAGATCCTGGGGCAGCTGGTGGGGCAGACGGGGGCGTAGCACAGCTTCTTGGGCCTCTCCGGAGATGACGCTAGTTCCTTGCGGCTATGACAACGGACAAGGCCACGCCACCGAGCGCGACAGCTGTTGCGCCGAAGAGCCACTTCCAGGGAATAGACTGGAGGGGAAGGAAGGAAAGAGGCCACGAATGTTAGAGGAGAGACAGCCGGGGGGGGCGCGAGGATCAGGCCGCCCTTGACAGGGAATTGGTTAGAACTCCGCTGGCTCTGGGGCTGGAAGGCAGCCTGGAAGGAGCAGGAGGGATCAGTCCTGTGCCTGTCACACGGGGTGGGGGGGGTGCCGGGAACCCCAATCCTAAGTTGGGGTGCAGGGAGGTTCCCTGTCCCAGGAGCATTTGGCCAGCCTGTGCTCAGCAGAGCAGGGGAGGAGGTTCCCTCAATCTGGCCGGGGTGGTGCCATCAGGTGGACCGATGGCGTTGCAGCTCTCTGGGCTGCCGGCTCGGGGGGCCATGCCTCAGCCCCACCTGCAGCCTGCCCCTCATGACCAGCCACAGCAAGCAGGCACCTCTGCCCTCTCCACCGCGGCTCCCTCCAGCTGGCAGCTCCAGACTCAGCTCAGAGCCTGGCACACAACAGCAGTTTCCCTGGCGCGTGCTGGCTCTGTGCTGACTAGGAGAGCCCCAGCAGGGCTCACGCACTCTGCAGCCTGCTCTGCCAGCACGTGGGGGCACAGGCAGCGGCAGCCAGAACACAGCGCGTGTGGAACTGCTCTGGGAGCCGGGAGAGATCTCAAAGGCCCCAGAACGTTGTGGCTGCTTTCCCGGGATCCTTCCCACCCCCGCATCCTCCACCACTCACCCGGGGCAACTTGTCTTTGCACGGTGCAGGGGTGCTGCTGGTGCCGGCGTTCCCCAGCATCTTCTTGTACATCGCGGTCTCCACATTCTTCTGCTCCGCGTGTTTCTTCACCAACTTGGAGAGCTCTGCATGGATAGTCTAGGAGCAAGACAGCCAGGCATACATGAGATGCCAGCCCCACTTCCCCTCTCCAGCCAGCTCCCAGTGCGCTCCGCAGACGGGGGCAGAGAGGAAAGAGCAACATGACAGCCCTGCGAGAGGACAGAGCCAGCAGCCCCTCGGAGCCGGGCTCTGCCGAACTGGGCGTCCGAGGCTGCACAAAGGAGCTCAGACACCAAGGCTGCTCCTCCCAACTGGGCAGCAGAAGCCATGTGTGCCCAGGCCGCCTCTCCCCACTGCCACCTAGCCCCCACTCGGAGCAGGGGCAGCACACCCAGGCAGGCCAAGCCAGCAGCTCAGAACAAGGACTCCTGAGTACGGGTCCTCGTTGTACAGCCAGACACTTCACTTCTGGGCCTCAGTTTCCCACCTTTGAGAGCCGCACGAGTGGGCGACAGGGCCTTGTATTTGCTCCAGCCCTCTAGAGCAGGGGTTCTCAAACTGGGGGTCGGGACCCCTCAGGGGGTCACAAGATCATTAGAGGGGGTCGTGAGCTGTGAACCTCCACCCCAAACCCCGTTTGCCTCCAACATTTATAGTGGTGTTAAATATATTAAACAGTGTGTTTAACTTATTGGGGGGTGCAGGGGGTCGCACCCAGAGGCTTGCGATGTGAAAAGGATCGCCCGTAAGAAAGTTTGAGACCCGCTGCTCTAGAGGGCGAGACGCACCCTAGGGGTGGTAACGAAGCCACACCTCTGCAGCTGGTCTGCCGGAGCCCAACACGGGGGCAAAATCCTGTTACAATTTCCCCCACCCCCCCGCCACGAGCACGTGGCTCAGCCTGGCTCCATCAGCCGCATTAGGCCCATCACAACCACTGGGGATGGTTCCTCAGCGTGCCAGGAAAGGGCTGATCTCCCTGCCTGGCTGGGGCTGCTGGTCCTGCCCAGCAGAGGGGAGAACTCCAGCAAGGGCAGGACAACAGACGGCCCCAGGCAAAGCAGGTCCATGGCCTCCAGCCTCTTCCAGGGTGGAGCTGCAGCGAGTGCCACAGCTGTTATGCCAGGAGACGGCCGTCAGGCTCAGGCCTGAGCTCCTGGCAGGTGCTGGGCACGGCGGCCTAGCCAGGCTGCTCCCAGGTCCCACTATTTTCTGTGCCCCCAGCCCCGAGAGTCACGGACACCCGGCTCGGGAGGAGGGGAAAGCAGCCCAGGCTTGGAGTAAACACATCCAGGAGACACGTGGATCAGCATCAAGCAGGAGCGGAGCAGAGGCCAGCCCACCTCAGCCACAGAAGGTGCACTGCGGCATGGGGCTTTACGGGGAAGCGGGAGCGAGATGGACAGACACACCAGAACCCCGTCCCCCAACAGCTCTGAAGAGATGTAACGGATTTCAGATTCCATCCTTCCTGGAAGCTGAACCTGCCTCTGCTCACCGGGTAAAGGGCCCGTCGGAAGGGGACTTTAGCTGGGTGAGGGGCCAAAGGCCACCTCACAGGAAGCGGTGCCGTGTGCTGATTGGGAAAGGACCTTTTTTGGTTGTAAGTGAGACTAAAACTCTGCCCAGGAAACCAAGAAGGGCAGAGATGCAGCAGTGTTTGTTCGGATTCCCACCGGAGAGAGGGGACAGGGAGGCGAGGGTCAGTTAAGATCAGCCGGAAGTTGGACTCTAGCAGGATCTGTCAAGCCCCTGCCAGTCACTTTAGCGTGGTCACCTGGCTGCTCTAAGAAGCAGTGACGAAATGTAGTGGGATTCTGCGACTGAAATCTGCTCCCTCCTGACCTGCATCCCCGTGAGCACCGGGAAGTTCAGCTAGAAAGCCCCGAGGTTTCACAAGAGGTGCGAGCTAGTCCCTGCGCCGCCTGGAACCGAGCTCACTGCCAATGCTGCCCTACAGTCCTACCCTCTTAGAGCTGAACTAGGTTCATACAAGACAGGTTCGAGATCCATTTAGGGGCATTTTCCCAGCACCCCGGGTGGCGAGAGGTCACTGTCTCAGCCCCACTCTCTGGGATACAGCAGTGGGCCGAGGATTCCTAGCAGCCACTAGCCAGCTCCCAAAGCCCACATCAGAAGAACCAGAACAGAGCCGAGTGCGGACAGACACGAACCCAGGGCCTGGAAGGAGTCAGCTATTTGGCTTCTGGATTTGCCACTTGTGTAGTGGGACTGCGCCCTCTGCTGTGGGAAGCTGGATACTTGTCTCTTCACAGCGGGCAACCCCACGAAGTGGCTTTGTAAAGACACACGGGCATGGTGAAGAATTACCTAAAGGAGCCAAGTACTTGGATGTCTGTTATTTATCCTGGGTGTTTCTAAGACTCAGCTAATGTAAAGGATCCAAGTTTGCTGTTCCCCACTGATGGGCTCTCCCCACGACTTCTCTCCTTTGGAGCAATGAGAAGTCAGGGCCGTCGCGCTCTGGTTCCTGTACGCTAGCCGAGCGCTGCAGGGGAAGGGCTCTTCCTTTACAAGCTATGCAGCGTCTCCAGTTTGTGCCTTTCATGGAGAGAGCTTTAGGCTTTGGAAAGAGGAGCCTTTCCAAAACCAGCCTTTCGGGCCAAATTTAATCCGACCGTTTCCAAAGTAATAAAAGCCAGTGGCGCCCGAGAGAAGACTGGATTCCGGACGGTGTATTTTTAAGATGCTTTTGAGAGTGAAATGCAACAAGTTAGTCCAGTGATTAGTGCTTGTCTGCCAGATCGGTCCTGTTGGGAGGGGGTCACGTCCAATGGCTTTCATGAGTTGTGAGCCCATGAGGAATTCTTGGGTGCAGCCCCCTGCTGTGCAGCAAGACCTCTCCAGAGCAGAACCTGCCCCCGTGGGGGAAGGAATTAGCCAGTGCCCCCTTTTCCCCTACTCGATTGGAAGAGTTAGAATCTGGCACCTCCACATAGAGGGTGGGAAGAGAAATGCTCAATATTGTGGTGTGCTTGGCTTGCACCCGGTGAAAGGCGCCTGACCGACAGCCCGGGGGAACGGAATGATCAGACCCAGATGAACATGATTTGTTTTAGGGGGGGGTGGGGCTGTCAACACAGCTTTTGTAAAGAGAAATCCTACCTCACCAATCCATTAGAATTCTTTAACGGGGTCACCATAAGCATGTGGACAAGGGTGAGCCAGTGGCGACAGACTATTTGGACTTTCCAAAAGCCTTTGACAAGGTCCCTCACTAGAGGCTCTTAAGCAAAGTAAGCTGTCCTGGGGTAAGAGGGAAGGTCCTCTCCTGAATTGGTAACTGGTTAAAAGTCGGGAAACACAGGGTAGGAATAAATGATCAGGGTTTTCAGAATGGAGAGAGGGAAATAGAGTCCCCCAAGGGTCTGTACTGGGACCAGTGCTGTTCAACGTATTCAGAAATGATCTGTGAAAAGAGGTAAACAGGGAGGTGGCAAAGTTTGCAGATGATACAAAACTACTCAAGATAGTTAAGTTCAAAGCTGACTGTGAAGAGCTACAAAGGGATCTCCCAAAACTGGGTGACTGGGCATCAATATGGCAGGTGAAATTCAGTGTTGATAAATGGTCACAGTGAGACAGGCTGAGCAGCCAGCCCGTCCATCAGAAGGGCCTAGCTAGAAATCAAACCGGGTGGCGCCTGACCTGCAAGGAGGCCAAATCCTTTTGGGACTTGCCTGGATGAAGGAGGAGGAGTTAACACCACCTCTCTTCCTAGCAGAGATGCCCCCTTTTACACTGTAGGCTCTTTGGGGCAGGGACTGTCATTAACTAAGTTTGTACAGCCCCTAGCACAATGGGCCCATCTTATCTGTGGCCTTTAGGTGCCACAGGGATATAAAGTCTAACACCTCTGCAGCGAAATGCCCACTGAGATGCTTTTTCATAGTCAGGGGCACTCGCTGACAGACAGGGAGAGCTCATCCCCAGAGCAAAGCCCTGCTCCGCTCTCTGCCCTGACACATGGAGTGTTTGTGTATTCTGCCCTGGTCCACAATCCTCACTGTCATCCTGGGTATTTCCAGGCTGCCTCAGGGCTTCCACTCCTGCAGCAGGAAATTCCCCACCCAGAGCTCATCCCGGCCCACGTGCTGAACTGGAGTCTAGCTCTTTGGGGCTGCTCCCAGGGCAGCGTCAGTCATGCCCTGCAGTGCCAAGCAAGGAGCTAGGGCTTGGTTCCCGCCCCACCTCCTGCAATGATGGCCCAAGACGCTGGAAGTTGCTGGGCTGGGACCCATTTTTAACAAAGGATGGGCTGGAGGGCGCCCTGCCTCCATGGGGCTCGATTCTGGGGGCAAAGGAGGAAGGGGAAAAAGCAGAGACCCAGTAGATCCGTTTTCCCATCCATAGCCAGAGCACATTCAGTCCCTCCACTAGGCAGTAGGAACACATGCCACCTGGTGCCATTGCAATCTGAGCCCCCAGGAGACACTGCCTGCCTCGCCCGGGCCAGCAGCGCAGCGTTGACCTGCTCCCGAGGGTGCCAGCCAGTCGGCCTCCCCACGCCGGGATGGCTGGCAACAAGAACAGAGTCCCCGCGAAGCAAAGCCACACAACCAGGAGCCAGCGGGGAGAAGCCTCAGCTC